TCTGCCTTGTCTGTGTCCCAGGGGGTCCCCATGACACCAATGCCTGGGGCGCAGCTCAGGGCTCTTTGATGGTTCAACGGTGCTGGGGAGTGTGGGGACTTGGGTGTTGCCCCAGTACCACGTGGGGCTCAGCTCTCTCTGTGCTGGGGTCCCCGTGAACATCGTCGCAAGGTTGGGTGGGAGAGTTGGGGATGACGGCTGTGCATAGCAAGGGAAGGTTTGGGGAGGGGGATTTTTGCTGCCTGTTGGGGCCTTTCCCCTGGCTGCTGGAGCTGCAGGGCACAGTGGGGTGCACAGGGGTGCTGTGGGGTGCATGGGTGGGAGGACGAAGCCACTTCTGTTCGTGGTGGGCAGCCACAGGGCTGGGATGGGGAGACCACAGCCAGGTCTGCCGCCAGGCTGTAGGGACATGGTGGGGGTGAAAGCTGCAGGACAGCCTGGCCAGTGGCGGCACTGGGGAAAAAATTACCCGTTTGCATTCCCCCTCCTGCCAGTGCTGCCTTGGTTCCTTCAAATTACATGTTACGTTCCCGAGCGAGTCCGTCACTGGCTCAGCTTCTTGGCCCCAGGAGCGCTTCTAGTGTCCCTTGGTGGGGGGAGGGACCCTAGAGGCTGATGTCCCCTCACCCCAGGTGTGCAACGGACCACAACTCGGACAACACAACTGCAATGCTGCAGGAGTGGCTGGGGGCGGTGGGGAAGGACTACCACTCGGTGGCCTGGAAGGTACAGGAGGAGCCCAGGTGAGGCTGGGAGGTGCTGGGGGGGACGGGTGTGGGCTACGAGGGGCTCCTGGAGCAGTACCCCACTCCCCGGTGGGGACACTGCTCGGAGGAGCTGGCGGGGAGGCAGAGCTGGGCTGACTCAGCCTGGCACAGGCGGCTGCACCGAGTTTGTGCGTTCCCAGCGAGCGGGGTTAACCCCTGCCTCCCCCCCCGCCCAGCTCCTACCCCGATGAGCTCGGGCCCAAGCACTGGAGTGACAAACGCTATGAAAACCTGATGAAGCTGAAGCAGGAGGCTCTCACCTACGCCCGGGAGCAGCGGGCAGACTACATCCTGGTAAGGGACACAGGGTGTCAGCAGGGTGGGGGCTGAGGTGGGCGTCCCCGTGCCTTCAGGACCTGTGCTGTCCCCTCCAGTTTGTGGATACCGACAGCATCCTGACCAACAACCAGACCCTCAAGTTTCTCATGGCGCAGAACAAGTCAGTGGTGGCCCCCATGCTGGACTCACAGACCTTCTACTCCAATTTCTGGTGTGGCATCACGCCCCAGGTACGTCCCCAGAAAGCCCCAGGGAAGGGGACCCTCCCCATTCTGAAAGAGCCCCCCACCACGGAGGTATCACTGGTGTGCTGCAGGGGTACTACCGCCGGACAGCCGACTACTTCCCCACCAAGAACCGGCAGCAGGTGGGCTGCTTTGCTGTCCCCATGGTCTATGCCACCTTCCTGATAGACCTGCGGAAGGAGGAGACATCACAGTTGGCTTTCTACCCGCCCCATCCCAACTACACCTGGGCCTTCGATGACATCATCGTCTTTGCCTACTCCTGCCAGGCGGCTGGTGAGGGCTGGGAGCCTGGGGGGGAGCACTGGGAAGTTTGGGGGGGGCCGTGGTGCTCAGCCGTCCTGCCTGGCAGGCGCGGAGGTCCATGTGTGCAACCAGCAGCGCTTCGGCTACATCAATGTCCCTGTGAAGGCCCACCAGACGCTGGAGGACGAACGCGCCAACTTTGTGCATCTCACGCTGGAGGCCATGGGTGAGCGCCCATGGGTAGCGAGGTCCCAGAGGTGTCCCCCACCCCAGGAGTGATGGGACCTGGTGCCAGTCCCTGGGGCAGGGCTGTTGGCCCTGGTTCCCAGCCCGGGGGGTCCAGGCTCCGCTGAAGGGGTGTCCTCTCTCTCTGCAGTGGATGGCCCCCCCATGCAGCGCTCCAGGCACATTTCCCTTCTCCCCAAGCCACTCACAAAAATGGGCTTTGATGAGGTGAGTTCCCAATGGACCCCCCGTGTCCCCCTGTTCGTCCCTCTGGCTGCATCCATCCATGGCAAAGGGCAAAGCCTGCCATGGGCTTCTGCTGAGCCCCTTGTCGCCCATCCTGCGGTGGCCAGGCAGGCTGTGTCCCCCGCCATGACAACATGCCCCCGTGGTGGGGTTCTCTCCTTCCTTCCCAGATCTTCCTCATCAACCTGCTGCGGAGACCGGACCGGCGCCAGCGCATGCTGGCGTCCCTGCAGGAGTTGGAGATAGCCCCACGGGTGGTAGATGCTGTGGATGGGAGGTGACTGTGGGGATGTGTGTCCCTGGTCTGCAAGCCCCCCGCGTCACCCTGGGGAGGAGAGAGGGTGGCTGGGGGGGACGCCTTGCCAATGCAGCCCCTTGCCTTGCAGCACCCTCAACAGCAGCGACATTAAGGTGCTGGGGGTGGACCTGCTCCCTGGATACTACGACCCCTTCTCTGGCCGCACGCTCACCAAGGGTGAGGTTGGCTGCTTCCTCAGCCACTACAACATCTGGAAGGAGGTATGGGGCCATGGGGTCCCTACGGGCCACCAGCACAGGGCAGGGACCCTGTAAGCATCACCAGGTCTCTGGAGGACCTGGGGAGAGGGTTGTTCGGTGGGGTGAACAGACCCAGTATGTCCAGTATGGCCCAGCATGATGCTGGGATGGGTTTGCACCTCTGGCCCCTCCCTACAGATTGCGTCCCGGGGGCTGGAACGGTCAGTCATCTTTGAGGATGATGTGCGCTTTGAGGCTGCCTTCCCGGCGCGGCTGCGGCGGCTGATGGAGGAGCTAGAGGGAGCACAGCAGGACTGGGACCTCATGTAGGGGCAGGGGCCGGGGGGACGGGGGGGGGGGGGCCTTGGGGCGTGCTGGCTGCAGAGCCCCTCTCCAAAATGCTGCCAGTGGATGAGTTCCTGCCCATCATGTATGACAAGCACCCCAAGTAAGGAGTGGGGGCTGCAGGAGGGGTGCTGGTGGAGTGGCACAGCCATGCCAGTGAGGGAGCATGTGTGTCTTCTCCGCCGTCACCGTCCCACCCTGTTCCCCCCCCCCCAGCATTACTCATGCTGGAGGAAAACATCTGTAGCATGAGCTCATTCTCCCCCCCCCGGCCGCTGCTTGGCTGCCGGCCTCTGGAAAATGGCCCTCTGCCAGCGTGGGGTGGGGGCACAGCAGCAGGGACAGAACCAGGGCTCAATGTTGGCCCCACAGGGGGGTCTTGGCCCCGTGGTGAGGGGGGAGCAGGCCCCTGCGCCCCAGTGCTGGGGGGCTGTGTGGTCCCCTGCCCCTGGTTGTCGGTCTCGGCCCCATCTTGGGGCACCTCCATGCCTCTCTTCCCAGGCAGGGGTCAGCAGCAAGGCTGTGTCTGGGGAGGGGGAGGCAATTCGAGGAGGTGGGCAAGTGCTGGCGGGTGGGTGTTCCGGAGGAGAGGGGGGTGGGAAAGCCAATAAGCAGGATGGTGAAACAGAGGGATTAGGCCTGTAAAAGGGAGGCTGGAGGTGGACAGAGGGGCGGATTAGTGCTCTGGATGTGAACCAGGAGCAGCTGGGAGTCCCATGCTCGCCGGGATAACGGGACCAGACAGCCCTGGCTGGGGGCCAGTGGGGCCAGGCCGGCGCGATGCTGTGCTGGAGACCCCCGCTGTGCCAGGGCCGGCCCCATGCCACCGAGGCTGGTGGGGAGAGACAGGTCCTATCCCCTCTGTGGTCCCTCCCCAGCCAGGCTCTGCAGGCAGCAATGGTGCAGGGCAGCCCCCCAGCTTGGCTGCCTTCCCTGCCCCCCCTCCCCGGTACCCCGTGTCCCTCCCCGTCACCTGCCCTGCGCGGTGCCTTCCCCAGGTGGTCAGTATGCTTTTCCCACCTTTTTCCTCCACTGGGCCATGCTCTGTAAGCCAATTTGTCCTCTTGGGTCCACTCTGCTTTCCTCAGTGAGGATTACAAGCGGCACTTCGCCCCCCGGGACCTGCTGGTGTTTTCGGCTCACCCCCTCCTGGTTTATCCCACCCACTACGCTGGGGACAGCAACTGGCTGAGTGACACCGAGACCTCCACCATCTGGGATGATGACACCAAGAAGACTGACTGGGCTGGCTCGCAGAAGACGCTGAGGGACTCGCGGGGCGGTGCTGGCTACCTCCGCTCCACAGCCCACGACGAGCTCTGACGGTGAGCAAGGCCATGGGACCCAGGCGTGTGGTGCCGGGGACGGGGGACAGAGCAGCTGGGAAGCATCTCCCTGCGAGTGACATGTTCGGATGTGTCCCGGGTACCTCGTTTCTTTTTGCCATGTGGCACCAGCTCTCCCCATCAGACTCAAGGCATCCCAAAGGGACGAGACCTTCTCTTCCAGGCGGAGAAAGGGATGGGGACACAGATGCCCCACGTGGGGCTGCACTGGGCTGGAGGAGACCAGGGGACCAGGTTCTGCCACTCCCTGAGTCCATGCTGCTCCCTAGCCCCTCAAGCGAGGAATGGACAATGCTCCTTTGCCTCCTGCAAAAGTCACCCTAGTTTGGAGATAACTGGGGGCATCTCGAAGGGGAAAGTTTCGCCCTAGTGCTGCTTGCTCCCCCCCCTCCCCAAAATGGGTCTCCGTGGGGCCGTGTCTCCGCAGGGTGACCGTGCAGGCAGGCGAGCACCCGCACTCGCTCAGCCCTAAGGCAGCACCACCACGGTTAATGCCGGGTCAGACTTTCCCTGTCTGAGGTTGCTTGTCCTGGCAGCAGAGCCTTCCCTGGGAGCAGCCAGACTGGGGGAGGCTGGAAAACAATCCTCCCACCGCCTCTCCTGCAGGCGTGAATGCGTCGGGGCTGCCTCTGCCTTGACCACTAATGTCTGCATCCTTGCCTCTTAGGGAGGGGGGACTGTGACCCAGCTGGGACCTCTGCGGGCCTGTGGCCTGATCCTGCCTGCTCCCACTTGAGAGGTGCCGCTGCCCTGCAGAGATCCCCCCAGCATCCTTCGAATCTGCACGTGGTGGATCCACCCAAGGCAGGATTTGCCCCAGAGGGCTCCCGGAGAGCCCTTTCCCTGCCAGATGGAGGGACCAGGGGAGCGCTGTGCTCCGTCTCTGCTGAGGACACATCTCCAGGACTGCCCTGAGCGATGCCAACTCTGCCGTCCCCCACCAGCTTGGACTTTGGGGAGTGTTTTTCAGGCCGGGGGTTGGCTCCCGCAGTGGCACACGCAGCCTCCTGCCACCAGCCGGGCTCGTCCCTTGCCTGTGCCATGTCTGGGCTGAAGCCCAGGGAGGATTAAAGCACACCGTGTTTGAGCTGACGTGCCGGGTGCTGGCTCTGCCAGGTGGCATCGCCCCACAAAGCGTCCCCAGGATGTACCCTGCCGGGGTCACCTCGGAGCTGCGGTGGTGAGGGTCTGGCGGTTCCCCCAGCTGGGGATTGCTTTGGGAATGAAATCTGTAATGGGGAAAGGAAGGGAGGAAGGTGGGGTGTGAGACAGAGATTGGAGCTCACCCTTGGGGTCCAAGGGTGAAAGGTGGGTGGCATTTCCGTGGAGCTCAGCTCTCCCCTGGGAATACTGATGAAAACTATTTCCCTCGTTGGCGCTAGGTTTGGCCTTGGGACCGACAGCCTGACACCAGCTTGAGCACCGAGATGTGCATCAGAGTCCTGCTGGGCTCCGGCATCTGTCACCTTTGTGGCCAGCTCTGGAGGAGGGTGTTTGCTTTCCAAGAGCCTGGGCTTGTTTGGTGCTAAAACTCAGCTCCTCAGCAGGGCGATGTTTGGTTGAAAACTGAGGGTTTTCTGGGGCGGAGGAGCAATTTCCTTAAAAACATGGCAACTAGCCCCAGTCTGGGGGAGCTGGGGCAGTGTGAGCTCCCTGCCGAGCTGCCGCCTCTCTCCACCCCTGCCTGCCAGCTGGCTTTGGCCCTGGAGTGACTGCTGGGGTCAGCCCTGTGACGGTGGGTTGCTGCCTTCACCCAGGGTTTGGGAGGCTGCGCCCCTCTTCTCCCCACAGCTTAATGAAGGCGATGGAGCAGCGGGTGGAAGCCTCAGTAGCCAAGACCTGCAGTGGGATGGCTGAGACCACCGAACAAATGATCCAGGAGATCATCATTCAGGGCAGGTTGAACAACTACAGCAGGGACCTCCTGAAGGAAATCCACTGGCTGCAGATCACGTAGGACCTGAAGATCCGAGTGGATCTGCTGGAGAACAGGGAGAAGGGAGGTGGCCAAGTGCATGGTCTGCAACTGCAGGGTCCCAGCCAGTACAGGCACGGGCGATGCAGCAGGGTCCATGGAGAGGTGGTGGCAGGTTGGGGACACTTTTGCTTCCCTGCCTGTCCCCTGGTTGCAGGTAGCCTCAATGCTATGGGAGGAGCTCAGGAGCCGGCAGCTGGAGTGGAGGAAGGAAGAGGCAGCAGCACTGCAGTACATGTGACCCAGCAAGGGTCCCAGCGCTTGTTCCAGCACCTGATGGGACATGGGCAAGGAGCAGGGTTTGGCTGAAAACCACCTAACTCAAAAGCTATGAAGCCAGCCCTGATACTTGCTGCAGCTTGGTGGGAGCAGTCACCATTCCAGGTGACTCGTGCTTTCCACAACTTCTCAACAAAGCCAAAGTGGTTTTGGATCCTGTGGAAGATGCTCCCCTTGTTCCCCCCTTCCCACTGGAAGCTTCCCTCCAACCTGGGCTGGCGGAACAGGGATGGGAACATGGATTTAAGTCACAGAGAGCCAGGGACAGCCAGAGTTTGGCGGGCGGCACAGGGGAGAGGGACAGGAGCAGGGCAGAGCCAGGGGTGAGGGTTTATTTAATTTCTGTGCCAAACTGCTGTATAAAGCCACTGCAGGGGCATCTGCGTGGGGACAGACTAGGGCTGCTTCAATGCTCAGCCAGCCTGCCCAGCAGTGCCAGCTCTGCTTGGCACCACAGGTGCCCTGACGGGCCCACAGCGCTCCATCCATCGGCCACGTAGGTCCCCGGGGGGTTTGTGTCAGCCCCTGTCCCCTGGCTCCCCTGCGGGTGCTCTCCTCCCCAGGATGTGCTCCAGCAGGCAGGGCACCGCCTGAGCCAGGACCTGCTCCAGCCTCTCCTGCTCCCCGGCGCTGAATGGAGCCAGGACATAGCTGGACACTGTAACTTCACCCTCTGGCCGCCCAATGCCGACCCTGATCCGGGTCATCTCCTGGGGAGAAAGAAGGAGAGCTGGAGGAGCTTCACCACACAGGCCCAGAAGAGACAGCACTGGGGCAAGGGGACAGTGCTGCGAGTGGGGCTGGGTGGTGAGGGAACAGTCTCTCATGTTTTCCAGGTGGTTTTGAGTGCTTGCTCCAAGAAACATGATTTTGGAAGAGGCTTTTGCTGGGCTGTGCTGAGATCCCAGGCTCCTGCCAGGCCTGGCAGAGCTGCTCGAGCTAATTGTTTCCATGTCCTCCACGGCAGCCAAACTGACATCAGCCCTCAGGGAAGCAGAGGGAAGGAGGGGAAGGAGAAAAGGGGGGAGAGGAAAGGGAGCAGGGGTTTGTCTGAGGGGAGTTGGAAGAATGGGAGTGGGGGGAACAACAAGCCATGCATTGAGGTGGGGGCAGGATTGATCCCCTTCCATTGAGGCCCACTCACGTTGGAGTGTAGAGCACTGATGCAGGATCGGACCCCGTTGTGTCCCCTTGGGAGAGAAGGAGAAAAACTCACGGTTAGTCCAAAAGAGAGACCCCCTCACCACAGTATGGTCTTGGGGTCTCTCACTGCAGGGACTTGGGGATGTGGTCCCAGCCAGGGGCTGCAGGCCCCGTGCCCTGGCTCCACAGAAACATCCAGCCTCTGGGGCTGAGCGCAGCTGGCTGGGAGGATGAAGGGAAGCGGGGCTGGGACAGCACGTTCTGCGCGTCTCAGCTCTTGCTGCAGCTGGTGCATGTGTGCCCAAGCGCTGTGACCCAGCACCAACCCTGCCCTGGCCTGCAGTGGAAGACTGAATGTCTGAGGGTTGAAGGGTAAATGTCTCAGGGCTGACCCAGGAGCTGGCGCTGGGGCAGGCAGAGTGCTATAAAAAGCCCATGTGGTGTTGCCAATGGGATGGGTCCAGCCCACAGCCGCTTCCAGGAGGCTCCCTGCTCTTCTTGCCAGGGCGGGAATGGGGAGGCTGCCCAAACAGCTGGCTATTGCTTCTGCAACTGGGATCGGGCCTAGGGCTAGTGCTGGGGCTAAAAGCACCATCAGGCTGGTGGGACGGGGCCAGGGACGGCCCCCATGCCTGTAAGGGCACGGCAAGGCCTCGAACCAGCTCCCAAAACCAGAGAGCTGGGGCCAGCCCATACCTTGCACTGCCTCCCAGCTTGATCGCCACCTTGCCCAGGGCCTTGTCCAGGTCGTCATGCACCAGGTAAATGTCTTCTGGGCGGAGGTTGTAGATTTCAGCTTTGGAAACAGAAATGCAACCCAAGGAATGAGGGGGAAATAGACTCACCAGGCCCTGACCCTGGAGGGCTGGGCAGGGGGACAGCAGGGCCACCCTGGGGACAGCA